CTGTCCTTCCCCCCCCCCCCCCCCCCCCCCGGCCCCGCATCGCCGCCGCTTAGTGGTCCTTTACAATTCAGACAACGCGCGCGGAGTATCTCTTTTACGGCGAACACGATCTTCGCGGCCGTGCGAGTAAAATAGCTGTTGACACGAGAGACGGTTCCTGCAAAGATTCGATGTAATACTTTGTCGAAGAAGGAAAGCGAATGAAATTGAATATTCCTTATGCGTGCGAGAGTATATCAATACCGATATTCGCAAGAAATATTTGAAAGAAAAAAAAAAAAAAATACAGATTTAATACAGGAAAGGAGTAGAGCCCTTATTCGTTTAATTTAACCACCAAAAAGTATTGAACAGTTCATTTAGAAGATCGACATCGTAAGTAAGATTACTTCATGCAATCTTAAAATTGAATTTGTATGCAGTTTCTCGGCTCTCGACATAAAATGAAGGCAATGCAGTTAAGCGTACAATGCAACAGATTGAAAATAAGTAAATATTAATGTGCACTCGCAACAAAATAAAATTCTAGATGTCAACTAGTTTATTAATATTTTTAACTGATAAGTTTTAACTAACGAAGGTGGTAAGAGTAGCGGAAATAATAATCCCTACTATTTTTGTTAATAAAAATTATTTTGTTAATAAATTACTCAAGGAATTAGATTACCTTCTACACTGTTGAAGAAGTAATCCCTCTAATAGTGTAGAAGGTAATCCAATCTCTTGAGTTAAATAACATTTTGTTACTTTTAATTTTCTTAACTTCATGTGTATTCGATAATGAAGATTAATCTGTTTCTGTGGTTAGTTTCAAAGTGTAAACAACGTTTGTATTAAAACGCTCAATAAGTAATAAACTAAATTTGAGTCAAATTTAATATATTTTCTTAAATTAAACTGTTTAACTTTATTGTTTTAGTTAAATTAACGACACGTTGAGTAGAAACAATGGCGATCTATTTTAGAAATAATAAAAAAGATCTCAAATTTTGGATAACTTGACATAAGTAATTAACAGTATAACAACTTTGTTCAATGTTGATCTTATCTTTACATTGCACATTACAAGCCATATTAATATTTACTTTTAACGTTTTCAGTAATCT